TCCTCGTAGCCCTCCGCTGGACTCTCCAGTAGCTCCTCATCTTTCTGGAACTGGGGAGCCCAGAACTGGACCCAGGACTCCAGATGGGACCTCCCCAGGGCAGAGCAGAGGGGGAGGAGAACCTCCCTGACCTGCTGCCCACAGTCCTCTTGATGCACCCCAGGATCCCTCTCCAGTAATCCAGGATCCCAGGACTCTCTCCAGTAAACTCACGCTGTTAACTAAAATTAGGTGGACAGTGGAGATTTGTTCTGTTCAAGGTGCATCACTCTGACTTTCTTCCCTAATTTTTTGGCCTGTTCCCCTTTTTGGAGGGATTGGCATGGAAATGGGCAATTCAGACACTTTGTTGTCACTCTGGAAACGCAACGATGGGGACAAGGGGAGGGGAGTGAAAGTTGGTGGTGGTGTTCTGAGTGAATGGGCTGGGGGAAAAGAAGGAGAGGGGGAAGCCGTTCCCTCTGTTTTTAGTATTTGCTGGTTGGATCTTTGGCCTTCCTCCAAAGCAAAAAATATAGATTGAAAGTCAGGGGGGTTCCCTGTTCACCTTTTTTCTGCCAGATAAACCACCAGCGATTCCACTGAGCAACTTCACGGTGAGTGGTCAAGGCCAGGAAGCTGCTTTTTTGCTAATGGGGGTTCTTCTCTCCCCAGGTGCTTTTGTTATCTGCTGGACGCCAGGACAAGTTGTGCTCCTCCTGGACGGCCTGGGCTGCAAGAGCTGCAACGTTCTAGCGGTGGAGAAATACGTCCTTTTGCTGGCGGAGATCAACTCGTTGATAAACGCTATTGTCTACTCTTACAGGGACAACGAGATGCGCAGCACCTTCCGGAGGATCCTCTGCTTTGTCTGTTATAGGAATTCCAAATACACCCCCACGGTGGTGAAGCTGAACACCACAGACCGCGGGACGCTTTCTCAGAACGGGCACTTCACTGTGGATTCCTCTATTTAGGTCTTGATCCTGGGGGGGACGAGCACGGTGCTGAACGGCAACCGCTTTCCGAGCCAAAGAGCAGAGGCTGAGCCGGTTCTAACGCAGCAGAGACTCCTTTGATGCGCTCCAGCATAAATATTTCTATAGAATACTTGTTGAGAAAGGACAAGATGCTTTTAAGGAACTGCTGGACGGTGCGTTATTTAGGACAGACATACTTTGAGTAGTATTCTTATTAAAGACTGCTATTTCTCACGCGAAGTTGGTTTGATTTAGCAGCATCTAGAAGCACGCTGCGTGCAGCAGGGATCTCGCGTGACCTCTCGACAGAGCAAAGTGTTTCCTTGGTACTTCAGCGTTACGGCCGTCGGAAATGGTCGTTCCCGTGGTAGCGTACTCCGAAGAGCCCGAGCTCTTCAGCTTTACGTGTTGCTTCCTAAACCGAGCTGCTCAGTGTTTCCCCCGAGAGCCTTATTCAGGTTGCGCTCCACACACTCCACAAACCATATTCTTCTGAAGGCCTCTTCCGAGAGGAATCGGTTTGAATTGCTTCCCAGGAAGCAGGCTCCTGCTTTCCTAAGTGTCTGCAGTGTTATTGGATTTCAAAGTGTTCTGGGCTCTTGGAGGATGTCTTAGGAGCACCTAATTCTTTCCTAAAATGGAGAGTGGTGCCGTAACTAGCCGCAGTTGTGTTTGTGTTCTGCTAAGTGATACCATGTGGTGCTCACAAGCTCATTGCCTATTCAGAAATGTGAGTCATGTTCCCATTAAAACATCTTTCTGTTTGCTGAAAAGCCCTTTGGGACAGGTTTAGGTTGGATTCCAAGGCAAGCAGTGTTTTGCCTTAGGTTTTACTGTGCGGTTTGGACCTCAATACTCAACTGCTCAAATAATGTGTTAACAGTCTGTTCAATTGGAGTCTCCCTTATAAGAAATAAGCAATATTAATTAATATTCCTGCCTGTAGGATCCAGTTTTCTGCTGCCTCTGACACGGTGTGAACTGTGTCTCGATGCGAGGCTGTGCCTGGAGGGTAGAGGAAGGATATTCGCAGCTGAGAGACTGTAAATGCTTCTCCAGGTTTCCTTCACCTTCAGGCTGTTCACGTTTAACAATGGGAATGTGCCTGCCATGGTCCAAAATCCAGAGTGAGCTGTTCACCGTGGGCTTGTGGGAGAGTAGGGAGAGGTGAAGGGAAGGCGGGTTTTGGAATAGTGTCTAAATTTATAATTTCTGTGGGTTTATTTTTTTTTTTAAAAAAAAAAAAAAGGCCCTGTCAGATGATCAGCTTCCTGAGTGATCACCTCAGCTGGCTTTGCAGAGGAGACAACTTACTGGAGGCCTTGTTACTCAGCTGTGTCTGCATGGACCTTTTCTTGCAGAACACAGTTGGGAAGTGACGGTGTTGGTCTCCTGGATTGTCTAAAACAGTCTTGGAACAGGGTTCTCATCTCTGCGTCCCAGAGACTTTTTGAATAAATCTGTTGTCCTGGGTTTTAGAAAAGCAGACTTGGCATTTTTTCCCCCCTGTCTCCCCTGCTGCGAAGCCCTGGGATCGGTGCCACCCTCCGTGCATCCCTGGGAGGGAGGGATGCTGGCCTTCAGGCTGGCATCTGTGGTGACTTGCTGGGCGGTGGCCCCGCTGCTGATGTGCCTTGGAGGTAGGTTATCTTTGAGGGCATCTCGGAGGACTGTGCAGGTGTGTCTGGAGAGGTTGTAGCCTCTGGAAAGACCATGGAGAGAACGGGAGGGAGTAATTTTCAGCCAGCCATCTGCAGCCAGAGCAGGGGCCTCCAGCCTCAGCCCGTTGCCTGCGAACACCAGAACTTGGCTGGTTTGGGGAAATCTCACCCTGTCAAAGCACACCGGGTGGTGGGGCGAAGGGAAGACCTAGTTTTATTTTTGTTGTCAAGGAAGACTTCTGGTTACTCTTACTTCCCGTGGGAAATACCGTTAGCAGGGTACGGGTGCGCGCTGGGTGTACGCGCTGCAGTGGAAGCCGGCGGTGAATGAGCTGTAGCTGGAGGAAGACTGTGGTGGAGAACGCCTGGAAAGCTGTTACTGGGAGCGATGGAGCTGGGACAGGACAGACTCAGACCTTCTCTGCTTTCCTGCACAGCCCCAGAGCAGGAAGCGCTTGAGTCCTGCCTCGTGCAAAGCTAATTTTACGATTAAACACATGCCGAGTTCTGCTTCTTTTTTATTAACAAAAGGGGGAAGGCGGAAAGCTGAAAGTTCGTGTTGCCTGGGACTGGGATTAGTACCAGTCTGGGTCAACCAGGGCGTGCGTGGGTTTGGGCGCGCTGCGTCCAGGTGTGAATGAATCTTTGTGGTGGGCGAGATGACACTTGGCTCATACAGAACTGCAGGTTGGCTTTTATGCCCAACTGAGCCTTTAATAACACGTGCTTCCCCGAGGGATCGGGGAACCAGCCTGACCTCGGCCTTCTGCTGGCGGCTCAGCAAGGCTGCCCAGGGGGGTTGTGGAGTCTTCTATGGAGAGATTCAATGGAGAAGGTCCTCTACAGCCTGCTCTGGGTGACCCTGCTTGAGCAGGGGGTTGGGCTGGATGACCCACAGAGGTCCCTTCCAACCCTGACCGTTCTGTGAATGCGATCCCGCTCTGACGAGCGCCCGCAGCACAGGCGGACTTTGTCATTGCCAACAGACTCTTGGCCCTCCATGGTCACCACAGAGGATCATCTCTGAGGGGCTTTTTGGTATTTTAAATGACTTCATTTAAATGTAGACTAACTGCGAAACCAGTGTAAACTGATGGAGAGAATATCAAGGATTTGACCAGTTTGTACCAGGCAGAACCTCCCGACTACTGGGAGGATGTCAAGACTTTGTGTATAAAAATGGAGTCTGCTGAATAACGGTAACTGAATGGACAAATGCAGCTTGTAGTCTGGTGGTCTTCAAAATGCCTGACCTCAAAGGTAAATAGCAACTGATTAGCGTAAGGAGAAGGGGGGAAAAGTCCCAGACCTTTAACGGAGCTTGGTTCTGAGCGATGGCTGGCACCCATCAGGAACAGGGGAGGGCTGCCTGGAGTTCTTCAAGGAGATTTCTCTTCCCGAGGGACTTGGGACCCTTGGGTTTCCAGTTGTTTCCAGCTGGCTGTAATAGATGAGAGAGCAGGAACTTCGGAGTCGTAGAAACCAGCCTGGGAAGTGCTGTTTTCGGTGAGACTTGAAAAGAAATGGTGAATCGATGAGGCAGAAGAGATGGGAGGAGGATTTTAACAGCCCTCCCGGCACCGAAGCTGGACGAAGGGAGAGGGGGAGGCATAAGTGGTGTATGTAGAACACGCCTCACCAAGCAGAGGGCTTTAGGCTGTTCAGTATTCCACATAACTTTATTTTCTAGTTTTATTTGGAAGCACAAAGCCCTGCCGAACCACACGGAAGCAGGAACCACGTTGCACTCTGGTTTGGGTCCTACACGAGACGCTGCAGCGAAGGGCGTGGTGTCACCCGATTACATGTTTGCTTCCCAAAGCTGCTTAGAAGACTTAAGTATAACTTTATCATTGTATGCAGAGCTGGGTGCTGCCAGGTTTATGGGATAGCTTGGTTTTTAATTTAAGATCCACAGCCTATGGATGGCCTATTAAATGTGGCGATATCCCTCTTCAGTTTGAGAAGATCCCCTGCCTTTTTAAAAATCACAGTATGAAACTGCCTTTGAAAGTTCATCACTGGTTTCCTCAAGCTTTTTTTAAGAAAAAATCTCCCTGAAATTAGTCTGTGTGTTTTTTTTGCAGGTTTTTTTTTATTTTTTGAGGCATGTGAGATTGTTCTAGACTTGTTGTGTGTTGGGTGGGAGGAAGGAAGGGACACCTAGGAACTATTTTAAAGGGATCAAATGTGGGACAAGTGAGAACACACAACTTGATCAAAGATAGGCTGTGTGGTTCCAGGAATGAGAGGTCATGCCTTGCTGACTGGTTGGAATTCCTGAAGCGAGCTGCTGCCAAAAGTAATATGGATTGTGGTGTGTTTTTTGAGGAGGGTAGCACTGGAGACTAATACTGTAGGGACTGATGGACTCCAAAGGTTTATTTGATTGAAGGAAAAAATCCAGCAAAACCCAAACCAAAACAAAAAGCACCACAAAGAAATAAAAAAACAACCTGCAGGAAGGGGAAAGGCAGAGCAAGACAGAAAGTGAGATGAATAAGGGGAAGCTGGTGATGGTGGGTTTTTCTTTGTTTCTAAACCTCAGTGCATCATATCTCTGATCTACTGAGACGTGGAAAACGAAAATCAAAGTTTCTGCTAGACTGCAGGTGTAGCAAATGCAAAAGTTCAGCTCTTTGGAGTCAGTTGTGCTTTTCTGAGTCTTGGGCAATACTGGAATATCAGGGCTGAGAGTTGACTTTTAATGCGTGAGGTTGGTGTGAGGCTTGGGGTGTCCGGGCTGCGTGATGGTAGTAGATGGGCCAGGAGCTCACCCACGTGTTTGATCCGTGCTGCCCCAGCCAAAGGCACCCAGTGAGCACCTAGAAGCTTCTACAGGTGAGTTCTTGGCTTAGGACACCCACGAGCATAGTTGTGAAGTGAAGCCTAGTTCCTCTCTGTGGTGGATTGGCACGTGCATAGCCAAGATAACTTAAAAAAGGTCACACTGATGGTGTAATAATTACTTCTGGTGGTATTTCTGTGCAAAGCTTTTCCATAAAAACCACAACGTTTGGCAGCAGCGGTGGGGTTCCACAAGCCCACGCTCCCACACCTGCGAGCGTAACTTCTGTGAGCAGAAGCGAGAAGAACCCATGTCTTGTCTCATCTGAAAGCTGTCACAGCCCAGAGTCCAGCTTCAAACGGAGTTTCTGGAAGATGCCGCTCTTCTAACTGGTAGTCTTGACCAAGTTTTGTCCTTGCGCTGTGACTGTCACAGGGAATACAGCGGGGCACCAGGAGGAAGAGGTAAGGAGGGGCTATGATTTGCCTGCCTTTCCCAGCAGGGAGAATAAAGCTGTCCTTTAGTTGTTCCATCTCCTGATAAACCTC